GACATACCACTAGAGAGAGCCAACACACCACAAATGAAGTTTGAAATCTGTTTCTATGGGGCCAAAAGTTGAATCTTTCTCATGGGCCTAGAAATGGGCCAAAATTTGCACTAAAATCTAAATATTAAAAAAACTATAAAAGTCATAAACACCAAAAGTCATAGCATACTAGTCCAGACCCAGCCGCACAAAAGGAAAAAGGAAAATAATAATAATAATAAATCCGACGAATAGTAATAAGTGTGCCTTTTGGCATAGGCACACTTAATAAATACACTGAATTAAAGAGGATTCATTGAATTAAATGTGTGAAGATGAGCTCTGCAGCTCTGTTTAGTTTCCTTGTTTCCTAACTAAGCGGGTCATTAACCTTGTTTAGTTTATCTGGTTAAAAGCAGCTTACAGGTCAGCAGGATGGACTCTGACGCGGCTGCAGACTAAAAACAGCTCGTCCACCAGGTCAGGTCATCCAAGTGGGACAAAATAACACTGCTGCTGACAGGAAACACCGAACACCTTCTGTTAGACAGCATGATGCTGCAGCAGTGTCTTTAATCCATAATCCAACTTTTCAGGATGCTACTGCTCATATTTTATAAAAAATGTTTTATTTTTAGATAAATTCTAACACACACAGACAGCTGGATAGCATAGTAGTAGTATGACTACATGCCTTGGGAGCGGGAGTTACAAGTCTAATTCCCACCTGAGGCATCTGTATCCAGTAAGGGTCCCCCCATGCTAAGCAAGCCTACTGCAGAGAGATAACTATGAAGTCATAATGGATCAACAAGGTCCGCATCAGGTGTTGAGGAACCAGGGCACCCTGATGAGAACTGAGCTGTAGGTGCTTTTATGGCTAGAGACAACAACACACATGTTACGGCAAGGGGTCAGGGGGAGATATCATCACCCCCACCCGAGATTGGGTCCCTGATGGAAGAAGGATTGTTTAGTGTGTGAAGCTTGAAAGTTGGATCCTCCAGTAGCCGGTGACCAAGACTACATGAAGTACCCTCAGAAGCTCTACTAGATGATGTGAATGCAGCACTACAGACGATACCTGCCGAGACTAACCACCATCAGCATGGAGAGGGAGACTGGAGATGCTACCAGGCAGGGCGTATATGGAATGCCATAACCAAGTGGCTGGCATAGTATACAGAAACATCTGTGCTGAGTATGGGTTGAAAGTACTGAAGTCAAAATGCGAGACACCCCAGGGTGGTGGAGAATGACTGAGCTAAGATCCTGTGGGACTTCCAGATACAGACGGACAAAATGGTGGTGGCTAACCAACCGGACACAGTGGTGGTGGAGAAGCAGAAGATACACGGCCATACTGATAGCGAATGACAGCAACATCAAAACCAAGGAACACGAGAAGCTAGAAAAGTACCAAGGGCTCAGAGAAGATGTGGAGGGGAAGGTCCCAGTGGTAACTGGTGCACTAAATGCAGTGCAGCTAGGTGAGTGGCTCCAGCAGATCCCAGGAACTACATCTGAGATCTCTGTCTAGAAGAGCGCAATCCTAGGAACAGCTAAGATACTGCAGCAGGACCTCCAGGCCTCTGGTAGAGCACCCGAGCTTGAAGGATAGACCGCCCGCAGCACACACGTTTGCTGCAGTGTTTCAACACTTCCAGGTTTAACTCTTTTATATAGAAAAGCATGAAATGTGCAGATATTTTCTCATTTTTGCTAAATACTATCAGATACACAACATGTATTATATCCCGTATTACATACAGTATTATCACACTGTGCTTGGTTGTCTGTCAAGGGTAGAAAGCAAGGAGCATTTAATCAAGTTAAATCCTGTCAATGCCCGTGTGTGTGTGTGTGTGCGTACCTCTCCTTGTGGTTCCACTCCTAGTGTGTATCCTGGAAAATCTTCCCACAGGAGAAGAGTTTCTTCAGTTTCCTCCCAGGCCAGACTGTCACAGTCATCCTCAAACTCACACTCCCTCCTACACACACACACACACGCACGCACACGCACACACACACGCACACACACACGCACGCACGCGCACACACACACACACACACACACACACACACACACACGCACGCACACGCACACGCACACACACCAGCTGTTTAAGCATCATTTCTGAACGTTTCAGACGTTAAATAAAGAACAAAAAACACCTACAGCTGGTTCAGCATCTTCTGCATCTGCTCATTAATCTGATTGGCCGACGTGCTGCATGAATCCTCGCTTTTGGCCCCACCTCCCTCGCTCTCCGACACGCTGAGCTCGTCTCCGTCCCCGCCCTTCAATGACTGCCCGCTGTGTTTTCTGACCCGGCGGCTCAAAGTGGAGGGCGGCGTGGGCACCTGCTGCGTGGAGACGGGTTGGTTTGAAAGTTGCAGCAGACTGTGGTTCAGGACATTTTGTGGCCGTGGATCTACCTGGAAGATGTGATTCATGTCCTCGCAGTTCCTCTGCTGGGCAACGTCACAGAGGCGGGCGGTGATGTCAATCCGGCGGCAGATATCCATGTCCACCTTCATGGCCTTTTCCTGGATTTTAGTGTCCAGATCTGACAGGTTCTGACCCAAAGACAGAAAAGTTTTCATTTTAGTCATATTTCCTCTTGTTCTGCTAAATAAACACAAAGCTAACAATATCATGTTTTTTCTGTGTATTTTTTCTTTGTCTATAAAAGGGAAAAAAGAGCATTTCACCATTTAAAAAAAAAACCTTTGTCAGGATATGGACCAATCGAGCTTATGTGCACAGTCCCAGGACGACACATGTAATTAGATGTAATTAATGCCTAAAAACGAAATGGATGAAGTTGTGACTCATTTCGTTTTATAAAGCTGTAGCAGACTCACGTTGCTGACGAGTCCTTTGAAGAGAACGAGCTCCTCTTTCAGCCGCTTCACCCTCAGAGCCAGCTCGTCCTGACACACCTCGCTCTCCTGCAGGTCCTACGAACACAAACATCTGTGGGTCAGATCAATCAGCTCTGCACAGGTATGCAAGTGTAAGACATCCGTGAGGTCTTTATGTCCACACGTGATGTTTTCTTCAACCTCAATCAAAAACTTGAAATGTTTTTTCAGCTCATCTCAATCCCATCCCATTCCCGGTGCTTTTTCTTGGACCCATAAGTTTTAAACCCACATTTCCTCCTATCTCCTTGTTCTCCTCTTTTTATTTAAAATTTGAGCAGGTTATATGTTCTGTGAATGCAAACTCTAAGCACTAAAAATATCTGTATATCTGATGAAGTGTTAGAACATTTAAAACATCTGAGGTTACATATCTAAGAACTTTTTAAGGATTTGTAAAAACCCTGGAACAGCTGTTTTCTCTGCTCTGTGCATTTTCAAAACAGAAATAGTGGTCCAGCTTGATGCTGTATTTCCAACTCACACAGCCCAGGCCCGCTCTCGAGCTGCTCACTAATATTAGGTGTGCTCCAGGTAAACTGAACTATCCCCAACTGAGAGGACAAAGTTTACCGAAGGACACACGTCTTACTTTAAGGATCAGAGAGAAGTATGTAAAAACAGTGTTACCAGCTTCATGAAAATGACACGAGCTAAATTTGCACTGATGTGCTGATGCTTCAGCTTCGAAAAGCTGACTATCATCAGACCCGAGTTCATGATGAGAAGCTGACTGTGTCGGTAAAACCAAACACTTTTAAAATGAGAAACATTTAATCTGAACACAAGCTAATATTTTTATGTCAATTTTACCTCCTCGAGTTCAGCCACCTTCTCCTGCAGGTCCATTCTGGCTGTGTACTCTTCCTCCCATCTGCAAACACAAGCAGAGCAGACGTCTCACACAGAGTGAAGCACAGAAACTCTCTGAAGCAGACAGACACGTTTACGTGTGACAAAATAAAATGCAATAAAACTAGAAAAAAAAAGGTGAGTGCATTCATACTCCACAAAGCATTACCACGGCCATCAGCTGTTTAGTTTAAGCAACACTTTCCTACAGAGTTTAACTCCGCCTACTGTGTCCTACAGTCAGAAGACTGAGCCACCTTAGCTGATGATGAGCAGCTCTACCTGAGCTCCTCGCCTGATCTCTAAGACTGAACTCAGACACCCTTTGGAGAAAACTCATTTGCACTAAACGTCCTCATGAGTAGTACTGAGCACTCAGTCGACAGCTCACTCTTACACTGGCTCCTTGGTGGCGTTCGCCTGCCCCTGATCGCAGTCTCTCATCTCCTGACTCAACTTACTCCACCTCCTCCACCTTCAACTGCAGCTGGTGACTTCTTTGGGAAATACAGTTTGATTTCGTGTGTGTGTTAGCTGACGTCACAATAATTAGCCTGTCAGGTTACCGTGGAGATTTTTTCAGATGGATTGAAACAGGCGATGAATTTTCGCTTCTTTATCTTCATGTCTGCAGCTTTAAGGCAAAAACCTTCATGATCACCTGACACAGACCCACACTGTGCAGCATCATGGCCCCTCCCAGCTCCACCGCTGTCATTACTCAGCATGTGTTACATAAGGAGAAACCAAGAAGTGTGCATTTGGAGCATGAAGGCATGAAGAGCACGCTGCAGTCACTACAAACAGAGAGCAGGACGACCGGCTCATATCTGGTTCCTGTGTTGTGGTGCGATGCCTCTTCTGCCTCATATAAATACGACCTCAGGATGATATTAAAAGAAAAATGGTTTGTCTTACTATTAGCACCACCATGTAATAAAGTCAGACAAAATCCGATTATATTCAATAATATATATATATATATTTTTTTTCTGTTTTTTTTTCTTTCTTTCTTTTTTGGCCTGTCCTGTTTGGCTCTTTTGCCATCAGAATTATTGTCTAAAGGCGAAGAAAGATGCCCAACAGATTTACTTTACCAAATTGACCATCCCAGCCTTGCCGTAATGGTCTATTTGATTCACCTTTTCTTGTTTATTTTATTTATTTTTTTATTTTCACTTGCTAGATACGGGACAGACTTGAATGAGAAAAAGAAAAGGGAGAAAGGAAGAGGGGAAAAAACAGCAGAGAAGAGGGACGGGGATAAAGGGCAAAGAAACAAAAACCAACTAAATAAGCAGACAAAAAAATAAATAAATAAATAAAATAAAAAATATACATATATCAATCACCTGGATCATCTGTTGAGAAAGAAAAAAGAAAACAAGCAGAAGAAAACGAGAGCAATACAATAAACAACATCACGATGATCTATGTGAATATAACAGGAAATACTAAATATTAAACATTATTGTGCAGCACGTAAGATCGACAGCGCACAGTGTGCTTTGAGGTAGGAGCCAAAAAGGGTGTCGTTTGTGTGTGTGAGCACCTGTGTGTACACCTGTGAGCATGGACGCGCTTGTTTTTAAAAGGTTCCTTCACGTAATGATCTGGTATATTCAATAATATTCAACCATCTCTCCTGATACGACACTAAAGCTTAATGTATAGTATTGATCGGATGTCTTTGCACTCATTCCTCACATATGTAAAGTAACATGAGATCAGAGGAAGCTTCTGAAGACCTCAAAAATAACTGTGACAAGAAACCCTTCTGGATGTGGACCGATCAGTGGATTAGATAAAGCTGATATACGATAGCAGGACATATGGTCTAATCTGTTTTAGATCATGAAAGTTTAAACTGGGGTAAAATCTCTGCAGTCACATGTATCACATGACTTCCTGAACAGCTGATCAAGAGAACACACCATCAGTGCAACACAAAGTCAGTTAAACTCCAGGGTTATTATTCTGCACTGTCAGGAAGCGTAAACCATTGTGAGTCCATTCGATCTGCTTTGGTGCCAATGACAATGACAACAGGTGCTCTGGAGAGGCACCAACAAGCCAACTCAAAGCCTGAATATTAACTATGAAGCAGCTGGTGTGTTTCAGCTGCAACGACACGAGTCAGTGTGACAGAGATGCTCAGATATGAAAACCAGAGAGAGCGAGCTGCTGTCCTCGCTCTCGTCTGTTTGCCAGTCCTAACACGCAGCTCTGCAGTGAGGCTGCTGGTGGTCGGTGTGTTTGACTGATTAAAGACACAGCAGCCGGTGTACCTGCGCTGACGTCCTAACTGCTGGGTGATGCAGACGCTTCGTAAACCGTTTACCGTTTACTTTTTAAGAATGAGCCCAGGCCGCTGCGCTGCACTCAGATGTGACGTCAAAGAATTTGAAAAGCCCTCTGCAGTAACGACGCAGCTCGTTTGATCAAACCACCTGAAACAGACTTGTTCTCAGAGCGAGCCAATATCGACTGAAAGGCTCAGAACCATTTAATACTGATTTCCTTTAAGTGAGACTGTGATCTTTATCTCCAATGAGGTTTTAGCTGCCGACCTTCATCAGAGCTGGGCAATACTGTGAATGTGAATTTCACCATCCTCACACTGAAGTTACATCTGCAGAGGTCGTTGTTCTGTCCTTAGAGGGAGCATCAGTGACACACGGGCAGAAAACACCTCAGTAAACAGCAAACTGCAGCTCTGTCATTTATTTATAGATGCAGAAGCCAAAAAGTAAAATCACCATGGCTGCAGCATCACACAGCAAAGCTGCTAAATATTAATCAAGGTGAACGGCACCTGGAGCAAAATCAAGCTCACCAACAAAGTGATTTTAAAACTGTTCCAATTTCAAAGAGACAAAGAGAAAAATGAGAAGTTACACAAAGCTTGTGACAAAAAAAAAAAAATCACAAAAACGTCCTTGTCAAAAGTGGCAAACATCGGATTTACTCTGACCACCTTAAACATGCCGACATCTAAAAACTAAAAACTATGCTAAACTGACCTACAGCCTGTGGAAAAGCAAACTGCTCGACCTACAATCTCCTGACCTCTTTTACCATCTCATCATCACACAGTGGATCTCCTTATAAAGTGTGACAACACCTACAACAGGTTCACAAAAACCTAAAAAAAACTACCTAGTACACATTTAAATGAGCAACTTTTCCTGAAAAAAACGGGATGTTTGCACCTCACATACAGTTATAAACTCATCAGCACCCTCTTTAGTTCAGCTCTAATCAGCCAATGCATTTGGGCATGCAGACATTATCAAGACGATGCCCTGAATTTCAAAGCAAAAAGCAGTATAAGGAGGAAAGGTGATTTAAGTGACTTGGAACGTGGCATTGCTGTCGGTGCCAGTTGGTCTGAGTATTTTAGAAACGGCTGACCCACTGGGAATTTCCCACTACGGTTTATAAACCGTTGAGGAATATTTCAAGCACCTTGTTGAATCTATGCCATGAAAACGAAGGCAAAACAGGGTCCAACCCAGTACTAGGAAAGGTACCAGTATACCTAATAAAGTGACCAGTGAGTGCAACTTATAACAGTTAAAGGGGGATAAACAGTAACACACACTCTTCCTTAAATCTTTCCCCTTTAAAGATGCATGTGACGACCTTCCTGTACCTTTAATGATGAGGTTCTGACACGTCAACATGTGACAGCCATGAGAACAGTATGTGCACAATGATGGCTGCACAGGCAGCGTCCACCCTGAAAAAGTTTGAATGCACATCCAGTCATGTGCTGTCAGGCTGAAATAAACAGAAACTGCTTAGAGCAGAAAACTGCTTCAAGGGTTAAACCTAACAGGCCCTCAAGGAGTAAAGAGTGAAGACATGACACTATCAGGAAACCTGCGTCTGTATGCAAGGTGATGCTATCTCGCTCTTCTCCAGCACACAAAAAAGTATGAGTCACTGACATCTGCTGCTCTCTGTTACAGAGTGAGCGATTAATGCCAGAGGAGATAACACAACAGTGTCAGTGTGTATTTATGTGCAATATGTGGCTGAAAATCTGCAGATGTTTGATCTGGTCTGACCAGTGAAAGCACATCAGCTCACATCATCTCAGTAATGCTGTTTGGGAGAAAAAATAAACTGCCCTCATATGCAGCCTCTAAAATGTCACCACTGCTAACCATTTTGGTTACAACCATGTTGGACTGCTTTTGTTGGAGCCAGAGATTGGGACACGATGGTGGAGGGCTAAAGCATGATTTGCCAGCTCCATTCATAAACTGTACAGCTGCATTCATAGACTTCCTGTTTGAACTTCACTCTTGCAGTCAGCCTCAAGTGGACAGTAGAGGAAGTGCAGTTATTGCCACTTGCACACAGTCAGCTTTATTGTTTTAACCCTTAGAGTTTACTCAACATCTGATTGGATAACTTCCCAGATACGGGGAGTAGAATTAATGCTGTGCTTATATACATATATATACGTGTCTGCATACTTTTAACTTCTATGAATCATTATTAATGTTTGCAAAAAGCAGAACGTCTGAGAAAGAAACCCAAGCATTTTGCAACTGTGTAGTTTGGAGACGAGCTAATGATGACGACAAAGATGTTGATGTCAGCGCCTCTCTGACGCTGCAGAAGCTCACCTCGGACACACTGGGTGGGGAGGTGGGGAGTGCAGAGAGGGATGAGGAGTCAGCGAGGACAGAGAGACTCAAAGAGGAAGACCGGGCAGAGTGAGAGCATTTAGAAATGGAGAAATGTAATAAGATGCCAGACGCTGAGAGGGAAGCAGAGGGTAAAAAGATAAAATGGAGAGAAGGAAGAGAGGGAGGTGTCAGATGGGGTGACATCACTGCTGGCGGTCACAGGCCGCTGCTGCATTGCAGGTACCAAAACAAGACCCGGCAGGGAGGAGGAGGAGGAGGAGGGATAGAAAAAAAAGGATCAAACAGGAGGAGGAAAGAAAGAAAGGAGGGGATGACTCATGAGAGAGAAAAACAACAGCTCATGTTCAACTTGTCCCCAGACAGCGTGTCCCTGCAGACACACATGAAGCTGAACGTGTCACATGAAAGGAAAACTGAAGACCTTTATCCTCACTGGAAAGAAAATCAGTCAGCTCAGGAAGAATATTGTTATGTATTTGAGTGAATTTTAGTGTTTCTATGCTCAACCCATGTAACTGCGACACAGTTTTGCCAGCAAGGAAATAAATAAAAGAAAGACTTTCACATTTGTCCGTCAGAGCTGCATCGATTCAGGCTTTTAAAGGGCTCTCCATGGTAGATAATTAAACTTGCAAAGAACATTTGTAAAATAATATATAAAAACCCTCGTTAGCTCCCTGCACACAAATAAAAGTCCTGATTAGGAGGATGGAAGGGTTTGGGATTTTGTTTCTCTTTGATTGATTTACTTTTGCTTTTCCTTACTGGCGAGGCTCCGGTACCAAAAGCTATCAGGTTAGGTTACATCTTTGACAATGAGGTTTTTAGTTCTGAACACCAAAATCTACTCGCTAAATTTAAACAGCTAACCGTGGTTTGGGTGAAATTATTCCCCTTTGCAACGTTAACCCAGGACACTGAAAAATGTTGCATTTAAGTTCCACTGCACTTAAATGTGGCAACAAAGTGTCTTTTCAAGTATCTCAGGAGTGGCAGTCCCACATTAATGCCCAAACCAAGCACGTCGTGTTTAATATGTCTAGAAACCATTAATGTCAGATTTTTGTTGATGAACCTGCTGCTTTCTGAGTTTCACTTTCATTTACTTCATTAAACGTTTGAGCTCTCGCCTAACCTTTTACTTTATTGTGCTCCAGAGTAGCGAATGCTTAAGGACACCGCAGTAATCATCTATCCTGTCATGACAAAATGACTGAAAACATGTTAAAATGATTCAAACTGGTGCCCGCAAATTTTTAAATCGTTTCTATCTGCACGTCACTCTCAAAGGTCTTAAAAAGACAAGAATTTAATGTAATTTAGTGCAGTGCAAAAACTAAAAGCTCAGCAGTATCTGAACATCACAGGTCAGGGAGTCACTGCTGTTGAGTGAAATCGATGTGACTGAAGGTCTGTCATGCCGAGGCCTCCTGCCTCAGCAGGCTGATGCACAAAGCAGTGAGGTCAGTGCTTTTTCAGCATAAAGCAGCGGTGCAAAATAGTGTTTCAATGTCTTTAAGAGGGGAACAGGTCAGCAGTGAAACGGTTTTTTTCTGCGAGCTGTACAACAAATCTACTGCCTAAAAGAAACCACGACTGCAGAAGATTAGCAAAAACGCAGGTAGCGTTGAAGCACCCTGCTCTGCACCAACTACATATTTCCCCAGGGTAATGAAAAATAAGATGTCGTAAAATTACATGTAAATTGTGATAAAGCTCATAAAAAGATCCAAGTAGTCCTCAAAATAAAGCAGTGACTGGCACCAGAGTTCACTGATTAATCCAGAGAAATAAACAGCTGACAAATGAAGGCAAAGCACTTTCAGATTTTATGACTCAAACAGTGTTTCTGCGGAGTTTTGCAGCACTTTTAAAAAGCGACCGACTAAAAACATCCTGTAAAGCAGCCCTGCTCATTGATCAGCAGCATCGCCCTCGCTGACCCCGTACAGCCAGAGACATTAATGGCAGCGCCCATCCTCGCAGGGTGACTTATGACTGCACTTAAATATAATAACTATCAGGTTTCATGTTTTTCTGACCAATCAATCACTGCAGAGAGGAACAGGAGCCAGCTTGGTGATCGGGTCGGCCATTTTCTTACTCAGCTGTACCTTTTCACTATTTTTCCATCTAAGATATCAGTGGTGCTTTTATCTGTATTTGGAAACCAATACTTAGCTTTGTTTAGTAGTAGAAATGTAATCAGTTTTACATCGATGATAAGTTTCTGTTCCTCCTAACAAAAGGGCTTCAAATGATGTATTATTTACTTTGAATTAAAGATGAGCAGCATTGGTGTTTTCTTGGTATCAGAGGGCAGGTGCTGCTGCTGCGGCCCGTCATCAATATTTTGTGGTTTCAGGTCGATATGATTCTGAGAAAAGGAGTCAGATGACCTGAAACACTCAGAGTGATGCTTTCATCTTTTACTACATCCTTCTCTTTTTTTACCCTCAGCTAAACACACAAAAACTATCAGGAATTTCTCAACTTTCAATAAACCGTATGTTATCTTATACTTTGTTGTGTTTCTGTTTTAATATGGAAATCTCACATCAAGTGACAGTAAATCATATCATCAAAAGAATTTGGAAATCTCCGTGCACAATGGGCAAGGCTTAAAATGTGGACTGGATGCTGGATCTTTGGGTCATTGAGTGGCACTGCGTTAAAAGCAGACATTAATTCTGTGATGGAAATCACAGCAGGGGCTCAGGTACACTCCCAGAAATCACTACCTGTGAGCACAGTTCAATCTGGGTTAAATCTCTGTCATGTACAGAGAAAGACACATCCAGAAACACTGCTGCCGTCTTTGGGTCAAAGCTCATTTAACATGGACTGAAGTAAAGCAAAACAATCCAAATGTGGAATTCTATTTGGAAAGCATGGATGCTGTGTCTGCAAACTAAAGACAAGAGAGACCATCCAGCCTGGCACTCAGAATCTTTGTCTGCATCTCTGACAGTATGGGGGTGCATTAGTGCCGATAAGGCACTGGCAGCTTGCCCCTTTGGAAAGGCACCATCGATGCTGAAAGGTATATACAGGTTTTAGAGCAACATGTACCCCTATTCATTTTTCCCCAGGGAAGGTCTTGGATATTTCAGGAAGACAATACTAAACCTGCATCAAATACAACAGCATGGCTCTGCGGTAAAAAAGCCCGAGGTTGAACGACCTTCACCAATGAAAACATTTGGAGCATCATAAAATGGAAAATAGGATAAAGACGACCCAGGACTGTTGAGCAGCTAGAATCCTGTGACAAGAACAGGACAGCATTCCTCTCCAAACCGTCCAGCAGCTGGTCTCCTCAGTTCACAGATGTTCACAGACAGCAGAGGGGTAAACACAACCCTCACTGAACGCTTTTGAGACGTTGTGCTGCCATCAAATTCAAAATGATCTAATATTTTTCTTGATATGCTAAATTTTCTCAGTTTAAACCTTTGATATTTTTCTCCATTCATGTGTGTTTTTGATATCTGCAAAGCACTGTTTTTATTTACATTTTACACAGTGTCATTTTTTAGAAACTGTGGTTGTAGAAACTGAGTCACCTTTTACTGAATGCTGAATATCAGTGAGTGCATTTGTCAGTGAAGAAAGACACACATGAACCACAGCAACATGAAAAAGAAAAAAGTTGATTTAAATCACATCTGAAAACATATTTTTATAAACTAGTTCTTTGTTCATATTGTGTCTTCTGGGCTTTTTGTTGTTTTACAAACTGCCTGATGTTACTGCAATGTTTGATATCTTTTATTTGTTAAGGAAAATGTGTATTTTGCATTTTGCATTCCTATTTTCTTGTTATTTTCACTCAGCTTCACTGTAAGTTTGTTCTTTCACTGTAGCTCTCGGTGTAGACCTACTGAAACTTGCACCACACACTGACATGGAGCCAAAGGTTTGAGGTTTTGAAGCAAACTGCAACTTTCATTATTACACTGCTATTTCTGGGAATATCACTTTTGATGGTTTGAAGTACTTTGTAAACTCAGCTTCAAAGGTGCCCCATAAATAATTTCTATTACCTGAATCACTGCTTCTTTTGTGTGACCAAATTGCGTAATTATTTTATATAAATCTGTTGCTGCAATTGGAAATTTAAAGAAAATTGTTATTTTTCTTTAATTTTATTAAGATTAAAAAATACATTTAAAAAAAATGAGCTATTGTTTTATAACACAGTTTTATTTTTTTTTATTATTTTGTGAATTACAGCTATTATTTAACTAAGAGTTCAACAGAACCACTGACCCCTTGGCCAAGGTCTATAGACAAGTATAATAGAGAAGTTGATCTGCAGTTGCTGACCCAACTGGACTGTTTGGAACCTGACAATATGCTCAGTGATGCAGAAGAAATCTCTGAATGTCTAAGCAGCCGAATCCTTTCTCTCCAAGACTAAAATCAGACCCATGATGTCATAAACCACCTGTAATCAGCCACCTGTGCACGCACGCGCACGCCAGCACACACACACCATGGTGAAAACTCCACATCACAGGTAAAGCATCTTATCACCCAGCGCCCCTTACCTCCTTTTATATTCATCCCTTTCTCTCTTCACTTTGGCCAGCACGTTGTACAGAGCCCTGATCTCCGGCGTGATGGTGTCGATCTGGACTCCAACGCCGTCCGGGTGAGTCCAGGAGACCCCGGGCCCCGTGACGCACGACTCCCTCCCGGTGCCAAAGCGGCGGGTGTGGTTGAAAGACCAGATCGTCCCGGGGAGGAAGCGAGGTGGCGGAGGGGGAGGTGGGGGAGCGTTGGAGGTGTTTGTCCCGGTGTGGGTGGAGTACTTCTCGTTGATGTTGGTGATGGTTTTGGTTGGGTCCATGGGACTCAGAGCCGGGCTGATGGAGAAGCCGGAGGTGGTGAGGTTGGAGTTTGAATCCGTGCTCAGGTATTTGTTGTCAAACAGAGGAGGGGGGTTCAAGGTGGGGGAGAGGAGGCCTCCGGGCAGGTAGGCAGAATTGTTGGCGTTGAGGAGCGGGATGAAACCCGGCCTTGCAGGGATAGGCCCGATGAATCCGGTCTGGACTCCTATGTCTTTAGTGAGGGGCTTCTGGTGTCCATCGCCCCCGCTGTTGCCCTCCAAAGCCTGCTGCAGCTGCTTCTCCAGCACCTTGTTCCTGCGCTCCAGCTCGTGCACTTTGGCCAGAAAGCAGCGGAAGCGCAGGTTCAGGGTCTTCAGCACGCTGATGTTGGAGCCCAGGTCGTTGCGCAGAGCCGTGGCCGCCGGGGGGACGCGGTGCAAGGGGCTGCTCAGGTGCAGGTAGGCGAGGCCCGACGGTGGCAGAGCACCCAGGTCCAGCCCGGACAACCCATCAAGCCCGAACCTGCCGTGGTCCCCCAGGAAGTAGCCCGGGTCTGGGATGGCGGAATCGGTTTGGCTCGGCATTTGGGGATGTTGCTGCTGCGGTGCCAGGAAACCGCTCTCCTCCAGGACCGGATTCATACTAGAGTAGGAAAATCTGAAGTGCTCGAAATCCGGCATGAACCCAGACTTTTATAGATTCACTCGGAGAGGTAATTTAATATATTTATGATCCCAAAGTGGAACTTGGCCCAGCAGCCTCTTCTCGATTACACCCGATGATCCTCTTTATGCGGAGGAGCTGTGCGCTGAAAGTCAGAGGATGCGTTTTAAAATGATGCTTTAAGGGCCCAAAATGGCAGCAAAATGATCAAATCCAAAACGAGCACTGCAGTAAAGCTGTGCGCGCACAATGGAGCATAAAACTCGTAGAAGCAGATACACCACTGCACCCTGCAGCAGAATTACAGTAAACTTTTAGGCAGGACTAATTTCTAAAGCGAGATCAGAGCCGCGATGCGCACTACCAAAACGTGATTTTTCTCTTAATTCAAGCACTGGAGGGAAAAAACCCCATCACGCTAAATAAATATTACTTTGCCTTTATGAACATTTATGCAACGTACCTACAGCCCGAGGTGTAAACGCCGACTGTGGCTCCAGGTAATCAGGCGAAGTCAGTGAATCAGCGGTGCGACACAGACCAGGATAAACAAGCGAGTGACTGCGGCTGCAGCTTACCGTACTCATTCTGAAAGCAGGGCACCAAGACGTTTCAACTACAGTAATAACCGGACTAAAGGAGCATCTACTTAAACGTGAAATGAAAGCATTTTGGTATAAATACCAACAACCGAAGTTTAGAGCTCCTCAATTAGCCAAAATTCCTTAAAATAGTTTAACAAGCACACGAATCTGAGAGAAAGCTAGCGCCAATCTGCGCACTTGTTTACAGAGATGACACTTATAGAAACTAGACAGTTTCAACAACTCCAGATGCATTAACGACCTTCCAGCAGTCAGACTACAAATGCATTCCAACTTTATGCAAAACCACTTTGGTAACATGGAGAAAACCAAGCACATTATAGAGCCAGCTCACAACCAGTGTTTGTCAAACTACACTCATTACACGTGTCAGTTGTTTCCATAGTCACAAAAGTGACTTTTACAGACTAGATGTCATTGAAGGGCTGGATTTGTATGAAGAAGCCAGTCTGGACAGGTCTAATGCTACACCTGTCCATTCTAAACTATATACAATTTAAATTGCATATCACAATGTGCTTTAAATGCCTTATACCAGGGTTAATGCTGAAAGCTCTTACACCGAATGTAAACATGATCTGAAATAAGGCTTCAGATATCCATGAAGTTTGCATAGGCAGCAAAGTTTCTCCCTGCTTAGTTTTTCCTTTTGGAAAAGAAACTACACATTTCTCATGAATTCTGTTCTTTATTTTCAAGTGCAAAGGAGCCACAAGCTTAGTAACAATACTGCAAAGAATCTGTACAAACATCACTTCTGACAGAACAGGGGACAAGCTTATTTTAAGCAGGACAATACATTTTCTCTCCCCATTGGTCAGGTTATTCAGTTTGTCCTTTCTGCAGATGCTGTGACATCCAGGTGAAGGAATGATGAATCAGGATTTCACTCCTTAGAGAACATGTGCACGAGCAGGTCACACACACGGTTGCTGTAGCCAAACTCATTATCGTACCTGCAGGTACAAAAAGGAGAGCAGAAGGTTCAACAGTGGAAACGTGAATGAAGATGGGAAAGCTGCAGGCTTTAGTGCATAATGGCTAACTGTTTAAATCACTGAAGTTTATCTTCTTGGGGCACTAGGTGTAAACTCAGTGACTAGGAATACCAGTCTATTACATTTTTACTCATTTCATACTACATGAGATTCAGATTTCCATTAGTACAAACAGTTTTTAGTAATCAATTTATTTAAATGCAGCAAACAAGCTTTGGTCAACTGAGTTTAATAAATGCAGTTTCATACTAGAGACATGTTCATCGAGTCTCACCATGAAACCAGCTTGACAAAGTTGTCGTTGAGTGCAATGCCAGCTCCAGCGTCAAAGATTGACGAGTGAGGGTCACTGTTGAAGTCCGTGGACACAACCTGAACAGAAAGAGTGCAAGTGTAGTTGTTCTGTTAGTGTGCCAGTCCTCGAGCACATCTGTAAAGCTAGTTAGACAAATGCTGCCACCTAGTGACTCCTGTGTGGCCACACAAGTGAAACAGTCTCATTCTCCCCTTTTAAGAGTGTAATGTAGCCTGGTGTTTCAGATGTGGGTGTTTTGTACCTGGTCCTCTGTGTATCCCAGAATTCCCTTCATGGGTCCCTCAGCAGCAGCTTTGATCGTTTTCTTTATGTCGTCATACTTTGCCTGAGATTAGAAATTATAATCCTCAGATTAGACAAATGCAAACTCTAGATAAGGGAACATGAATCAGCTTTATGTCAATTATGAGACGCTTACAGGCTTCTCCAGTCGGACAGTAAGGTCAACGACAGACACGTTGGGGGTGGGCACACGGAAAGCCATACCTGTCAGTTTACTGTAACAAACATTCAGAGCTCAGGGCATTTTGCTGATAGTTTTAGTCATTACACCGTCCTGATCCTTTTCAGGAAGACACATGTGCCATTTTAAAATGGAGAATTAGAGGAAAAGTACCCGTTCAGCTCAGGGATGACCTTGCCGACAGCCTTGGCGGCTCCAGTGGAGGCAGGGATGATGTTCTGGGAGGCACCACGGCCATCTCTCCACATTTTACCAGAGGGCCCGTCAACAGTCTTCTGTGTGGCAGTGACAGCGTGGACTGTGCTCTGAAAGAGCAGGTAAAGGTTATTCAGAGGCAGAATCAGATAGTCCCAACAATGTGAGCTAATCTGAGCTGCTGTCGGACAAGTTAAGCAGAATTTCTTAAGAGGCAAGTAGCTTTGATGTTGTAGAGGGACCACATTTACTTGATGCAGCAGAAACACTTTGTGACAAGAGAACTACTGGAAAGCAGGACCCTGATATAGACACCCAGTATCCAAGCTTTCTGATCATGTGATGTTTGTGAAGGTCCATCAGTCTCCAGCATCAGTGACTAAAATTTGGCGAGTCTGCCACAAAGAATGACCCTCCGCAGAATGTCGAACTGAGGAGACTTTGAGCTTTTTGGCATTGTGCAGTTTTTGCACAGTGAAATTGGGTAGCTGGACCACAAAGGTGCAAAAGACAAAATACAATGAGGGGAAAAAAAAAAGTGCAATGTATGTGAGTACTAGCAACATGTAACTAAATGAAGTTGTTGCTGAGCGCATTGTACAGTTTGTTGGCCGACTGCTCTTAAAGTTCCTAAAATCTTCTGGTTATAAGAGATTTACTCAAAAGAAGCAGTATCAGTTCTTTACCATGAGACCTTCCACGATGCCAAAATTGTCGTTTACGACCTTGGCGAGGGGAGCCAGGCAGTTGGTGGTGCAGGAAGCATTGCTACGGAGAAAGCACATGTCAACTTAATGTATGACAGCTTAAGTGCAGAGATGCTACACCAAACAAACTTTAAGAAGCCATCTAGACATCTGCAGCCAGCTGTCCAAACAGCCGTTATAGACAAGGCATCTGTAAGCACTCAGTACCAACACTCACCTGACAACCGTCAATGAGTTGTTGTATTTTTCGTGGTTGACACCCATTACAAACATTGGTGCATCAACACTGGGAGCTGAGATCACCACCCTCTTAGCTCCACCCTTCAGATGAGCCTAACAAATCAAAATGGATATTAAGACTGCTTGTACAATCATTGATGCTTCAGGAAGCTCCAAAATTATGCAAACTAGATCCCAAAAAGATTGCATTAATTTAGAGATACAGGTCAGGATGATGAAAACTGTTCCTTCAACCAAGTTTGTCACTATTGTGACTTCAACATGTGAAACAATCCAGTCATCTTCAGGGTGAAACTGCACTTTAGACAGGTGAGAAAGCACAACAGCAGCCAACTTACAGAAGCCTTCTCAATGGTGGTAAAGACACCAGTGGACTCTACAACATAGTCCACACCAGCATCACCCCACTTGATGTTGGCGGGGTCCCTCCTGTGCAGTTCAGAGAAGTTAGTTATTCAATCTGAGGCAAACTTGCTGGATAAAGTGCACGTGTGACTGTTACGTACTCTTGGAAGACCATGATGTGCATGTTACCGATGACCAGCTTGCCACCCTCAGTCTTCACCTCTCCGTGCTTCCAAGTGCCGTGAGTGGAGTCGTACTTGAACATGTAGGCCTGCATTAAGAGGTGACCATTAAAAATGCAACAAAACCTGCAGTTTCTTAAGAGAAGTCAACATGAGGTCTCTAAAACATCCTGCTGTCCTTGACAACGCAGTCTTTGCTTAATGTTTCATTTAAGGACTTTGATTCTCCTAAATAACGAAACAAAAGCAAACAGGCTTGTTAAGTACCATCAATTTATAGAGCAGAAGAAACTTGTCCTCTCACCATGTATTCCAGGTCAATGAAGGGATCATTGATGGCTACAACCTCAACCTTACCACCTGCAACAGCAGCACGAGTCACCAAACGACCAATACGTCCAAATCTGAAATGCAGGTCAGACTAAAGAATCAGTACAGATATGAAAGGGAGCAAGAACGACTAGGTTGTTGTGAGACAGTAAGGATGAAATATTTTGTTGAATTCAAACTGAAGACCCTTGTAATGTCTGCATAGTCCAATTAAAATATCAGGTTCCAGGCCCAAGTTTTTAAATTGCAACTATGTCCACTTTATTCATTTCCTGTGACCAGCAGGTCTAATCTGAGTCACTGCAGAGGATGGCTTTGCCATGCAAGGCCTGCCAACCTTGACTGAAGATAACAGTGGCTGGCACCAGCAGCTGATGGCCTGTTTAGGCCTAATATGGGCAATGTCAGTGAGGCAGATTGAAGAGTGTGGAACTAAGGAAGCATGAGGGTCGAAAGTTCAGAGCACATTATAGGAGTGGAGATAAAGAGGGTTGTGAAGTAAGAGTTTGAGAGAAATCAAGATATGCTACAAAGACAAGTTTTTAAATCACTCAAACATTTGTCTCCAACTTTTTCATGTTTTGTGACAAGTTGAGTTAGTGCTTCAGAATTGAGTGTGTGGAGGTGTTAGAGTACAACAGTTGCTTGTGGGTTACCCAAACAGATTAGGCCATTCTTGTGAATTGCTGCCTCCAAGTAGATTTGGAGGCATACAAAAAACAAAACACAACAAAAAAACAAACACAATTTTGTCCAAGATGGCAAAAGGCACAATTTTCCTCATCAAGTTTAAGTTCTGAACAAACTTAAAGTGGGATTTCATATGTGGATGAACCAAAAGCAGACTTTGCCTGGCGACTGCAAGACTGAACCCGTGTTTAGTTATAGCTAAGATACAGTTGCCACATAGTTGGAATTTGATTGTATTCATGGACTTTCAATAATACTGCATTTAGGCTCTATTGTATTTCAGCTTCTATCAGAGTAAACAAGGCTGCTCAATTCAAGATTTCTAAAGATGTGGTGAAACATGTTTCTTCATGTAAACTGATCTGGAAGCAACATGCAACTCTCCTAAAGAAGTTGCTAAAAGCCTGCAGAAGTTAAACATTCCCATTATGGACCTGCATACCAACTACTGTGTCAGAGGGAAGCCGATAGTAAATTCAGGGTTGAGGCCACCACTAGCTTTGGCTTTAGATCAAGCTGAAGACAGTGGAGTTGTGGCATGAACTATTGAGCACCAGAGTTTTGTCATGCAACACTGCATGCCTTCAGTTCACACGAGTCACATTACATAGTTTGTTTGCTACTGTATCCTGCAACAGGAGACAAAGATACAACATGCACACAAAACTACTTTATCAGCTTTGATGTATCAGGAAGCAGAGACTCCTTTGAAACTGCTAGAGAACTTTATGGGTTGAGTAAGAGGAAATCTGGACAATAGCAAAACAGGAAGGAAAGTCTTAAGGGGAGCAATTTGAAAATTCATATCTGTAGGAACCTGCTCATATCAGATAAAGTCCATGTTCATCAACTGGTGTTCTCTTAAAGCCATTCACCTCATGAAATTTAGAGTTAAATGTAAAGTAATTACTGAATATAAAGTTCTTACTTTTGTCAAAAATAAAATTATCACAAGTCAGATGTGACAGTTTCACATTTAACTGATATTAGAAATCACTAGCACAGTAAAATGTTAGCAAGTTTAACTTCAGGTGGGATGACAGCATGCTGCCATGGAGGCTGCTTGCACAGTCTAGTTTGTGGCAAAGTCAGTAGTGTACATATCCTTAAAGTTAGTAAGGGGTCAAGAACAAAACACTAATGTTGTACCATTGGGGGACACTTATGAAATTTGGCAATTCTAGCAGCTTTAAACACAAGCAGCTTCACTACCGTCTCATTAGTGAATCATTTTAATTGTCAGGTGCAGAAACCCTCAAGTTATCCTCTCAAACTCTTTGTCAGGCGCTGCCATCATTGACAAAGTTTTGACAGGAGGGGGAAGAGCCACAGGCATGCAGATTTCCTTGGTTTTGGAAAGCTGCTGAGCAGCCAGAAGGCCAAAATGGACTGGAGCCCATCTTCTGTTTCTGAGCCTCATTGTGAGGTACGTGTCCAAAATCAGGGAGCCAAATCTCCCTGCGGCTCTGCAGCAGCTGCTGCTTCACAAGAGGAAGAGAAAATGTTTCAGCTGTGATCTCCGAGTCCGAGCAGTGTCCACACAGAGTCGACCGATCACTGATCTCCAGTGGAAAGGTTAAGGAGTTAAAATTAGATGAGGGGAGAATGAAGAGGAATGTGACAGCTGAAGAAAGCAGAGATACTGACAGAAGGGCGTTGTTGAAGAGCGGACGCCAACTGTGACACCACCAGACTATAAATAACCAGCGAATAGACAGGTCCAGACCGTAGTCCTGTCCTGCTTTTAGGGTTCAGATGATGCTCAGGCAGCACTCCAGCGGTCCTCTGTGAGGCAGCTAAATATTTAGACACCTTTAAGTGTCTGGCATTTCTAGATTTCAAGCCTTGTTGAATTTATGTTCATTTAACAAGTTGCCCTTTTACCATCTTGACAAGAAGTTGCCGTTTCAGCTTTCAAACACTGGCAATCAGTTTGTATTTTGGCCTCCATAAGGCATTTGTTTAGCACATTTCCAACAAGGTGTTAAGTTTAAACTGCTTTTGCCACTTGATTAAATCTTTACTTCATGAGCCAATAAGTAAAACCACAAGAGGACAACATGTCACTAGAGGAAAACCAAATCGAAGGCCCTACAATTCAATTAAATTGTCCACTGATCTAAATTTTAGAAACACTTTCAACCTTTGACATAAACACTTGTGTCAATACAGCATTCAGACAACAGGGGATGAAGTTAAAATACCTGGATACAAATCAAGCATCCAAAGAAATCCAGGAATCTTATCCGGGGTATACTGAAATGCCTGCTTGATTATACTTTGAACTTTATTAAAAGATATACAAATAAAATGCAAGACTTAGTTGCACCTACTCAAGTTTTACTAGCATCAAACCAAACACCCCTTTGCAACACATGGGGTAGTGATTGTTAATTAAGCCGATGAGAAGGAAACCTCTGCCAGGACACCTGCACAATGACAGGTGTAGAAACTTACCCATTGACTCCAATCTTCACCATTGTGCCTGATGTGGTCTACACCTCACTGAGACGGAGAAAACAGTTTAGCCTTTAATTCACTTATACAAGAAGAAAAAAAAAATGCACATTCAAGAATTAAAAGATTAACGTTTCAAAAAACTCAAAACAAAACTTTACAGGAAGCAGAAACCGTGTAATAAAAACGCTACTTCCTGTGTGTTTCGTTCACCTGTTACTCTGAGCAGCAGGTAAAACTGTCAAAGCTCAACCACTAAACAAAGGCAAACGTGCGGGAAACCAAACCCTTACCTGAGAGGACACTGGGATACGAACGTCCTCCGGAGACAAAGCGAGAGCGGGAAAGAAGTTTCGAGGCACGCCATTTATATGCGCGGTCCTCCCGGGCCACGCCCCCTTCCTCAGCGGCCCAACTTTAAAGGTCACGTGAAGCTGCGAACGAGTTTAATTAAGAGCGTCGTTTTTTTGTGCGGTCTTTGCTCAGTCTGAGAGGTCGCTATACAACAGAACCACAGTGCAAATGTGCAATCTGTGACGGCATAATTAGAATTAAACGCCACTCTTCAGAATAGTTCCTGGAAGGAGCTCCACAGGAAAACACAAGAACAAAACCATGTTGTGGCAACTGGGAATTTTAGGAAGGAAATACCAATATCATGGGAATAATAATAACATAAATAACAAAACATCCACTTACAATTGTTTTGCATTTGATTCGTTTGCCCAAAAGGACAGCAAACAACACACAAAATCGCAGATTTCATTAACAGCTTTAATATTATCATTATTTCCCCCATAATTTCTGCAGGCAATGCAATGATGTTGCCAATGTCAATTTTATGTTACTGTATTTATTTTTCTATTTTACAATCAGACTCATGAAATTAAAATCTGATATCATGAATAACGACATCTTGTTACTTCATGTAGCAGAAAATCTGGAATAACATCCTTTCAAATGGTGAAAGGTTTTTGCTTTGTTGCTCCAGGCCACCATCATTTTCTAGCAAAAACGTTTTTCTTCTAATTTAATCAAAGATTTACTCACAATTTATTGATGATTGTGTGTGATTTATTTATATCATACATTAAATTAAATAATAGGTTAATCAAGTGAAATCACAATTACCAAAACGGATTTCTCAATGTTATAAAACTGAAATGTGATTTACCTTTTAGTACTGTCAGAAATCTGTGATCAGTTGGGTATAAATCCATCTCTGTAGCTGTGTTATTTTCAGCAAGCACAAAGAATCTATTTTTATTAAAAAGACAACTGTCAAAAATTACATAAGAGAGTTTAATGAGGAAGGTGAGAGCACTGATGTGTTAATCTGGTCCTCGGTCCAAAGTCAGACCTGAGACACCCCCCCACTGCTGCCCTGTCCAGGCTCAGTCACAGGATGATCCTGCCGGTCATGTGATGTTCGAGTTTCCACCACTACGTGAAGCATATCACACACAGACAGGAGGGCAACTTTCATAGTCAGTCTAGTGCTAATCCCACTGAAGCTTAGTTTTATGTATTTAAATGAAGAAATATTACAGTGAAACTTACAGGGAAATAATCACAATGATTTTTTGAATTTCCACAACAAATCTCTGAATGCAGGCTTGTGTGTTCGGAGCAAAAACTACAGGGGTGGCAGAGCCTCTGAACTTTAACAACAGTCGCGTTAATTTGGTCACCAAATGTGCTGGTGACCAAATAAATCTCTACCCCAGGAGTTTCAAACTCATTTTAGTTCATGGACCACCTACAGTTCAACTTGATCTCAAGTGGGGAGACTCAGAAAAAACAGTCCAACCTATAAAAACATATAGAAATTGAAATATATTTTCTTTTAAGTGTAAAAATGTGCATGTACTCTCTGAAAACATTCATATGTAAGGTACCATAAAACAGATGATTAGCAGCCTGAGATGGCTTAGGAAAACTGAGTATAGTCTCAACAGTGCCAGTTTTCCTCTTTCTGTCAGTCTACTATCATTAGAAAAATGCTGCAGAACTGCATCGGGATGTCGTCTCGGCTTACAGGTGTCCCTCAGATCTTTGTAAAAAATAAGAGACAAAAACTCCATAAATGATGCCGATGCTGGCTTAGATTTTAATGTTTTGCAAACCCGTCCACTGGGCCAGATCTGATCCTTTTGTTGGTCTATTCTGGCCCTTGGGCTGTATGTTTGACACATCTGGTCCTAAGCTTTCCACTTCAGCCAGAAAATCTAAACGGTTATATTCAGCAACCAGAGAATTGGATCATATGGAAAATTAATTCATCCAAAAATATTATTATCTCCCACGACCCTGAATTGGATAAGCAGAAGAGAATGGCTGGATATTTATTTTAAAGCTTTGAAAACATGTTACAAATGAAGTTCCCCTTGTAAAAATAGAATAATAATGAGTAATAACGAGGCTGAGTAATCTGATACGGCTGATCACTGTAAGTTTCATCTAATGTTAATCAAACAAGGAGACACGGTATGGTTGGAATCCACATATGGTGGTCCTGTGAGTATTTTCAGCAGCACGATGGAGTAATGAAGGAATGTCACTCAGCGTGGCTCACCGAAGTTTTAAATAGATTTTGGTAACCGACAGAAACCCGCAGGTATAAGACTTTTGAGGCTATGAATGCACACACAATATTGTTGTGTTTTACAAATGCACAGACTGTATATAAAAGATGGATGCAGCTGTCGTCAGGTTGCATTTTGATTTTCAAGCTCTTCTTTTGAAGCCTCAGCCTGCACGTTTTGACCCTGAGATTTTGGTGTTTTGAAACTTGACATGATGTGTGGAGAGTGAAAGGAGGACACATCATAAAGATTTGCCTGGTTTATCATCTGTTTTCTTCTCAAAGGGACCATAATTTATAAAGTCAAATCATGTAGTAATAAATAAGACTTAACACTTTCAGTCTAAACCACAAACATCACCAGATTACCAAATACATGCATCCAAACCTGTGACATTTGCACCCCATTCATACCTGGTATTACTGCTTGGCCTAGAACATTAAGTCCAAGAACATAGTTCATACTTTGATCAGATATTAGAAGGTACAAATGTGATCTATGCAGCATGACCACATCTTCAAGAAAAAAGAACACATTTTGAAACCAATAATAAATGAAAGGTATATAATTATCCAGATACCGTATCTCTATACAGACTGCATGGGTGTATTTTAGTACTCACAAAGCAAAAGAACAATCTAGCCCTGCGGATCAAAGAACATACAGCTCTACAGGTCAGTCAGTGGAGGGTAACATATAAAGGTCAGCCTATAAATATGGCATCCTGTTCTGAACTCTCTTCATATAGACAGTATGTTAAAGAGTGTGACATTTAGGTGAGCTGGGCACTTCTGTTCGGGGTCAGACACACCAGAGGGTTAGCAAGAACGTCTCTGAAACAAAAAGGGACTGAAGGTTGGTTTGTATGTTTGAATGAAGCCCGGACAGCTCTCAAAAGCAGAGCCCAGGTGAGATAAATGTGCGTCTTTTGTGTGCGTGATGGTGTAACTGTGCACATATCTGCACTGTATGTAATGCAGAGCCTGATAAATGCTTTGTCTTTGGTTAGGGGTGCATTCTAGCTGCTCAGATAAGCCCCATGATCCAACACAGCCATGCCTTATCTAGGAAAAAAGAAAGGAAACCTGGTTGCTATGACAACCCCAGTGGTTAGACAGCTGGTTAATAATTCAAGTCTCGCTTGCTCCTGTCTGATATTTGTCTTTCTGCTGCACAGACTGTACAAACATTGTCTAAAATTCACAGACTATGTCACTGCATTTCCAGAGGAAGTCAAAGCTCCTGAAATGAGCTGCTCTTCCTCTCGATCTTCTCGCTGCCCCGTTCTCTGGCTTCATTTCCATCGGAGCTGAGATTAAAACCTTCTACCCAAATGCATTCAGAAAAGTATTCTGCTATACCATGCATCAGTATTTGAATTTGCTATGACAGAAACTTAAATAAAGAAAATGACAGTCAACACAAGGCAGAAGGAATGCAGAACATCGGGAGCATCAGGAGCAGAACACATTAAAAATAATACATGAAGAAAGTTTGAAATCATCTTCATGACCTTCTGCTGTTTATTCATCCTTTCCCACCGAGCAGCTGACTCGAAGTTGCAGGAGGCTCAAAGTGTTTGTATGAGTGACCTTTAATGATTCATTTTAAGCTGATGACATTTATAACATTCCCCTTTTTTTTTATTAAAAAATGGATGTGTCTGTGGGTGTAGAAGGAAGGAGAAAGAGGCAGTGCAAAGGTCAAGAAGCAGATTTAAACCCAAAGAACGAGAGTGGGCGATTAAACCCGCTGAGCCTCCAGAACAACAAACACAGCCTGCGCTTTCATTCAGGCACACGGAGTGATGTGGCATTAAGGCTTTACTCTTAGAGCCTTATAACACATGCAAGTGATAATGTCTACAAAAATGCTGGGAACAGAGATTTTAGCTTAAAACTGCTAATTGCTTCTCCCGAACCACGATCTCTGGTATCCAGTTTAAAGTGACGGGTCATCTTTTTGCATTTCGTTTTTTTCATCCTTAAAGATACTTTGTTATAAGTTGCCCAGTTTTGGAATAATTGGCTGTAAAGATATAGTTCTCTGTTTCCTTTAATAAAATTACATTTTGTCTCAAAGCACCAAAAATATGTTTAAAAATGAGCAGTGATGTCTCTTTCCAGAAATCTCGGCCTTGTTGTGAGCAGTTTCATGGCAACTGTATCACTCTGCAGAAGAAAACACGGATTTACGGATGACAGGAGCTAAACAGTCATCCTGAGAGCTTCCAATATAATCAACAGCTCCCACTATTTAGACTTCCTGTTTAATAGGAAAAATGTTTTCTTCTATTCTTCAGTTGTTTAGTAAAACAGACTAAGATAATAGTTATAATACTGGTTTGCACTACAGCCAGATGATTTTCTCTGGTTTGGAGTCAAAGTAAGGAAGATGAAGCTGTGTGAGGAGAAGAGAGAGGACAACAGAAAAATAATGCTGAATATGAAGCTGCCAGGCAGGAGGAAAAAAGGAAGACCTCAGAGGAGATTCATGGGTGTAGTGAAGGAGGACATGCAGAGGGTGGATACGTCAGAAGAGGATGCTAGGATAAGGTGAGATGTAGGCAGAGGAAGAAGAAGAAGAAGAAGACATACTTTCACTTAGGTACATCAAGCGAGTGTGGGCTGTCATGAATCCTGAAAGTATCAATCAGAAGTAATTTATGGACAAATTCAGCTTCTCTGTAAGAAAAAAAGATATAAATTATTTGCTGCTATTTTTTCCTTCAAGATTTCCTGTAGTTTCTTATTTATGAAGGGTGTAC